CATCTGACATCAGCAGTGATATCCCTGGTTCCATGTACTCTTCTGAATCCAGCCTGAATTTCTGGCAGTTCGCTGTTGATATGCTGCTATAGCCACTTTTGAATGATCTTCAGCAAAATTTTACTTGCATGTGATACTAATGATATTGTTTGATAATTTCCACATTCGGTTGGATCACCTTTCTTGGGAATAGGAATAAATATGGATCTCTTCCATTCTTGCCTAGTCTAGATATTTCATATAAGTGGGATCAACATTTGTCGGCAGTGACATGGACTGCTTTTATGTGGCCTTTCTCATCGTGGTCTTGTGAGTTCCTTTAGGTGTTTGGGTGGGACTATGCAAGTAGGGTGTTTGTGGCCCACCAAAAGGATTGGACAGCTTGCTAATGATGCAAATAAGGTGCATGGCACCCTTGTAGGGTAGGACCATGCAAATGAGGTGTATGGAACCCTACTGAGAGAATTGATCAGTTTTGCTGCCCTGCTGGGCTTAAAATGAGCCATACCAGAGGTGGAAAGGGGGAATCTCACTACCACCAAGAAAGACGGGAGTGGAGCACATCCTTTGGACCAGGGTCCCTATGCTAAGAACCTCCTAGACACAGGAGACGGAGATAGATGGTGCAAGATGGCAAGAAGCAATGGCAGAGAAATGGCAGCAGCAAAACGAGAAGACCAGCATGAGATGGTGGTGGCTATAGTAGGCATGCCTACCTACAGAGCAAGAGAACTGAGCGCCTCTGGGCCGAGGCTTACTGGTGGAGTGGGGTGCTCCTGGGCACTTACTGGCAGAGCTAAAGAGTTTTGTAACACTTGCCGAGGAGGGCAGAGGCCAGGCTGAGGGGACGAGGGACGAGGGCCAGAAAGAGCCCTGCCTGCAGCACCGCTGGGAAGAGGCTGTCCTGGTTAAAGATCTGTATCCTGAGCTTTCCTAGTCCTGAACTGTAACCTGTTACTTGCCTAATAAACCCCAAACTGTGAGTATGGTCTGTGAGTTCTGTGTGGCCATGGCAACAAATTATTGTACCCAGCAGAGAAATAGAGAGTGCCATCAGAGAGATGGCTCATGTCAGAATCGGTGAAAAGGTTAGAGAGAGGGGGTATGTCTGACCTCCACCTCATAGAAATCCTCCTTGAACTGCTGCTGATGGTGATTCTCCCTCCTCCCCTGCTTGTGAGATTAGAGGAGGCCAGGCCTCCCCTCCGTGTCATTTTTACATTGTTCTTTTGTGTCTGACTTATTTCACTCAGCAGTGTTTTTGAGGTTTCCCCATGCTGCGGCATGTATTAGAACTTCATTTTTCTTTTTGACTGAATAATATTTCATTGTATGGCTCTAATACATTTTGTTTGTCCATTCATCTGTTGATGGACATTTAGGTTGTGACCCCTGTTGGCTGTTGTGAATAGTGCTGCGGTGAATGTTGGTGTACAAGTATCTAATTGAGTCCCTGCTTTCAAGTATTTGGGGTAATACCCAGGAGAGGAATTGCTGGAGGCAGTTTCTTAAAACGTTAAATATACACCTATCATATGAACTAGCCATTCTACTCCTAGATATTTACCCAAGAGAAATAAAAATCATGTGTCCATACTAAGATTTGTATATGAATGTTCATAGCACCTTTATTTGTAATAGCCCCAAAGTGGAAACAACCCACTGTCAACAGGTAAATGGATCAACAAATTGTGGTGTATCCATACAGTGGAATACTAATCAGCAATGGAAGGAATGAACTATTAATACATGCAGTAAAATAATTATAAGTGAAAAAATCCAGAAAAAAAGAGAATATGTACTGTTTGATTCCATTTATATAAAATTATATATAGTTACAGAGAGCAGGTCAGTGGTTGTTTAGAAATGGGAAACAGAAGAGCAGGAGGAAGAGATTATAAAGGGCAGGAGGAACCTTTTGAGGGTGATGAATTGTGATGATTTCACAGGTATGTACATATATGTCAAAATTTATCAAATACATTTTACATATGTACCATTATTATATGTCAGTTATACCTCCGTGAAGTCCTTAAAAAGATTAGGGACACTGTTTCTGTGAGAATAACAGAGCCTTCGGCATTTTCTCTGCATCTTCTCTCCGCCTCCCACCTCTGTCTGCCTGATTGGATGGGGACATTTCAGTGCCAGGCGCCCGGGGATCATGGCATCTCATGGGTTTGTCCATCCTCCTCTGCTCTGTGGCTAGAAAGGCACAGGGCTGCAGTGAAACTCCTGTAACTGCTCCCTTCTCCTCAGCCTTTCTCACAGCTACTTGGGCTTCTAGGAAGCACCTTCCCAGAAGTCTGTCTGCTGCTGCCTTCAGCTGGTTCGCTGCAAATACTCTTGCCATTTTCCTCCAGTATGGACAGTTGCTGCTCATGAACTTTTACTAAGCAAGTAAAAGCTAATAACCATGTATAGCTCCAAGTTTCTAGGATGAGTGGATAAAAAGATAGATAGATTAGATAGATAGATTGATAGGCAGACAGATAAATAGCTGCCATTGCGTCGACCCTGACTCATGGTGACCTTATATACACCAGAGTGAAATGTTGCCAGGTCCTGCGTCATCCTCACAACTGCTGGCACGTTCAAGTCCATCCTCGCAGCTATTGTGCCAGGCCATCTCACTGAGGGTCTCCGTTGCCCTCACCAGCCTTCTACTTCACCAAACATGGTATCTTCCTCCAGCAGTTCATCCCTCTTGTTGATGTGTCCATAGCAAGTGATTCCAACAATCCTCTGTCGTTCATGGAGTTTTCATTGGCTGATTTTCGGAAATAGATTACTAGGCCTTCTCCCTGGTCAGTCTTAATCTGAAAGCTCTGCTGAAACCTGTCCACCGTGGATAGCCCTGCTGGTATTTGAAATACTGGCGGCATAGCTTCCAGCATCACAGCAACATGCAAGCCACCACAGTATGACACACTGGCAAATGGGTACTGGTTCTAGGGCTAGGTTCAGGGTAGGTGTGTGCCGTTACATAGGACCCAGAATACATGGGCAGAGAGGCCCCTCGGGATCTAGGGATGTTTCAGCCCCTAAAGTCCTGTTGCTTGGCCCTCCCTGATAACCCTGTGAGATCTCAAAACAGAAACGATCTGACCTCTTTTGTCCCATTTTGTTGCTGTAGTGATGGCTCATAGCCTCAGGACCATTCATAACCCAATTAACCTGGCAGATGGCTAGATGAACTCAAGATCTTATCCAGTAGTCATAGGTCTTAGGAGGAAGGAACATTTACTGAATCCCTAATCTGTGCCGAGTTTTCCACTTTCATCTCCACAAAGATCCCACGAGGGTTGTAGTTTTCCGATTTTACAAGTCAGGAAACTGGTTTGGAGAACTGTCACAATTTGACCAGGGTCACAGCGAGTAAATAGCAAGGCTAGCACTTGTACTGAGACCTCCTGGCTCTGAGGTCTGGTGACTTGTTACCATAGAGGACTGGGTCATGAGCCGGGGATGATGAGTGATGAAGTGGCATTCACTGAGTGGAACCCACGTTTCTCCACTTAAGATCCTTAGTTTCCCTCTGTTAATGGCTATTTAGTGATGATTGACTTGCTAATGGCACAAGAGTGACACCCAGTGGCTTCAGCTAAAAACTACAAGATCAAGGATGATAGGTCAGATGATTTTACCTATGGGCCAGTCAGTCCCTCAGTTCCATTTCAAACCGGAAGGGTAGGATAGCTGACCTCTTGAGTAAGAGAGAATAAAACCATGTTTAACTTTTTGAGGAACCTCTAAACTGTTTTCCAAAGTGGCTGCACCATTTTACATTCTCACCAGTAATGGATGATGGTTCTAATTTCCCCACATTCTCACCAATACTTGTTGTTATTATTATATAGCCATCCTAGATTGTGGCGTAGATCACATTGTGGTTTCCATTTGCATTTCCCTAATGACCAGTGGGAGTCCTGGTGGTGCAGTGGTTAAGACCTCGGCTGCTAACCAAAAGGTTAACAGTTCGAATCCACCAGCTGCTCTTTGGAAACCCTAGGGGGCAATTCTACTCTGTCCTGTAGGGTCACTTTGAGTCAGAATGGACTCAACAACAACGGGTTTGGTTTGGAATGACTAATATGTTGAACATCATTTCATGTGTTTATAGCCAGCCATTTGTATATTTTCCTGGAGAAATACCTACTCAAGTCCTTTGCTGATTTTAAAATTTTGAGTTGTCTTTTTATTAACTTGTAAGAGTTCTTTATATAAACTGGATACAAGTCCCTTACCAGATATATAATTTGCAGATATTTTCTCCTATTCTGTGGGTTGACTTTTCACTTTCTTCAGTGTCCTCTGAAACACGGAAGTTTTAAATTTTGAAAGCTAGATATGTGTAGTGGTATGTATATACATATACATATATATCCTGTGCAGAATATGCATGTTGTCTGTTATGGGGAAGTATTCTTGAAAAGAAAACAAGGAGGTAGGAGGCTTGGGCTGAGGTCTTAGTAAGTACCTCTCTTCTGTTCAGATTGAAGTAACAAGCGTGACAGGCTTTGAAAGGCTAGAGGACTACCCAGTATGACCTGTAGCTTCCCACGTTTGGCCCTGCCAGTGTCTTGCTGTTACTCACTCTGTATAAGGAGTTAGCTGGCTACAAAGAGAACAAGGCACCGTGGAGCTCACCTGTCAAGGGATTTAAAGTGTAGAGAATGGACATGCATGTACGACATAGCACACAGCTGCCTGCAGTACACGGCTCAGAGCCTGAGGAGCCGGCAGACAGCGGGCCAGGATGAGTTCAGAGGGGGAAGGATATGCCAAGGGTCCCCAAGCAAGCTGCCAAGGGTGCCGAGAGGAAGGACACCTCGAGGGTTGGGGCCAGGGCCGGGTGGGGGGTGGGGGTTGGTGTGAGCCAAGAGGAAGGTGTTCCGACAGCCTTGAGGCCAGGGAAGCCGTCCGGCCGCTCTCCAGCCTCACTAAGGCGCTCTCATTGCTTCTGTAAAACCCATTCAGCACTCCCGATTTTTAAGCAGCTACCCGCCGAGAGACACGATGCGGCCCAGAGCGCTGAGGACGCGTGTGAGAGCCGCAGCCCGGAGCTCCTGCCAGGTGAGGTGCTGGCGCTTCAGGTGGGCCCTGGACGGAGCGGGGAGGAGGCACAAGTCAGAACCATGACTTCAGCTTTCCAAACTGGCCCACGGCCTCTTTCCACAGCGGTGCCTCTGTGGGCCTTCTGGGACAACAGCAGGCATCCCTCCCCAAAGCTGGTCTGATAGGACTAGAATTTTCTAATGCAGTTTGTTCCTTCCCATCTTTTCTTGGTCATTAGGGTTGATACATAGGGAGCCCTGGTGGTGCAGTGGTTAAGCACTCAGCTGCTAACCAAAAGGTTGGAGGTATGAACCCACCAGCAGCTCTGTGGGAGAAAAGACCTGGCGATGTGCTCCCATAAAGATTTCAGCCTAGAAATCCGTGGGGCGGTTATACTGTCACACTGGGTCAGAGTCCGAATCGCCTCGATGGCGCCTGACAACAGGGCTGATGTCGGGCTCTGAGAGCCACAGCCTCAGTGTGTGTCACGGGGAGGTGTGGGTGATGCGATGGCGATGCTGCTGACGTCTTTTCCCCACATTTGCCCTCCCCCGACACAGACACTTAACAGCGTCCGGGCCAGCAGCGGCAGGGCGTGCGGCTGGAAACAGCCACAGCCACGGTGCTTGAGCCCGCGAGGCTGGCAACCATAGTGCAGGTCGCACTTACAGCCCCTGCCAGGTGCCAGGCACCGTTCTGGGCTTTTTAAGCGTATCAACACTCTTAATTCACACAGCAGTTTTCTGAAGTGTAGATATTATTCTCATTTTACAAATGAGGAAACTGAGGCCCAGAGATGTTAATAAACTTGCCCATGGTCACACAGCTAGTAAACAAATGGCAGAGCCAGAATTCAAACTCAGGCAGCTCAGCCCCAGCAGAGCCCAATTAGCAAGGATGGCTTCCTACAGATCCCAAGTCCTCCAACCCAAACAGCAGCCGGGTGTGGGGGAATTTAGGGACTGTGACTTCGGCTCTTGCGTTGTGTTGGTAGTCGCTCTCTGTGGTCACATCTGCAACAGGCTGCGTGTTGTCTGCGCTTAGGCCTAAGATGTATTCCCCAACCGCTCAGCCAACTGAGCCAAGTTTCAGATGTCACGGGGGCTGTTGCTACTTAACAGAATCCTGCAGTGAAGACTTGTATAAAGCAAAGAATCTGTTTTTTATAAATTGAGATTTGGGGATTTAAAAAATGAAAGCATATCTGTACCACACTCAATCCAGTATTTATGCAGTGGGGAGAGAAACGAGTCAGGAAGTCAGCATTGAACTGAGCACCCTCCGTGGCATCTAGTTGCTGGGCTCTTACAGACTCCTCGCATCTAGTCCTCAGTGACCCTTGGGTGTGGGCGGCTCTGTGGCCCAGGCTGAGGTCAGGTGTGAGAGCGCTTAGCAGCAGGATCTGAATCTCAGCTTGCTGCCTCCAAGGCCCGTGCATTCTCCACTGCATGGCATGTGCCTTAAAATCTGGGTATTTATAATCTGCTGACACCCGATAGATTGCTTGAGCTGCTCCACCCTACAGACCTGAAACTCATCTGCCCCCGAGGCAATTCTGCTGAGGAATACCACTGCCTGGCCACAGTCTACTCCCTGACTGGCCTTCAGTTTGTCAGTCTTGCCCCTTGCCTTTGTCACCCCCTATCCTCAGTGACTACTCCATTCTTTTAAAGTATCTCCCCAGCCTCTGCCTCTTGGCTCAGCTTCCTACTTCCCACTCACTGATCTCTCTTTCAGTAAACTGGACTCCCCCACAGCAGACCCTCATCAGCCTGGCCTGTCCCCTCCAGGCTCAGGGATGGTAGGGCCCCTCCTGCCTTCTCTGGGACCTGCTTCCATCAGTGTCCCTTCTTCTGCCCCTCCAGCCTCTCTGCTGAGTTTTGTCCCTCAGCAGGTCACTCTCATTTCTTCAAAAGGAAGTTTTTCACGGAGTTTCTGTTCAGGGTGATGAAAAAAATTTGGAAACAGAGAGGTGACGGTTGTACAACGTGGTGAAAGTAACGTCATGGAATTGTACACATAAAAATGTTTGAAATGGCAAATGTTTTGTTATATATATATATAATATCACCATAATGAAAAAATAACTCAAGAAATTAAAATAAAGGACCCCATGACCATGAAACTTCCTCTACATGTCCGCAGTCTTCAATCTCTCTCCATCCATCTCGGCCAGGGTTCTCAACAAAGAAAGAGGTGCCCTGGTCTCCCCTTCTTCCTCTCATTCTTGCCCTAACCTAGAGTGCTTGGTGGGCTCCAAACTGAACGGTCTCTCCTTAGGGAAGGCCTCTTAATTTCTAAATTAATTGTGCACTTGTCTCATCACTTCAACTTGCATATGAGCAACTGATGGTCTGTTCCGCAGTCAGACCCTGGTTGCAAGAGCCAAAATATGACCTTGAGTATATCCCACCTGAATTTGAAAACCATCTCAAGAACAGATTTGATGCACTGAACACTAATGGCTGAAAACCAGACGAGTTGTGGGATGACATCAAGGACATCATATATGAAGAAACCAAAAGGTCATTAAAAGACAGGAAAGAAAGAAAAAACCAAAATGGATGTCAGAAGAGACTCTGAAACTTGCTCTTGAACACAGAATAGCTAAAGCAAATGGAAGAAATGATGAAGTAAAAGAGCTGAACAGAAGATTTCAAAGGGCAGCTTGAGAGGACAAAGTATTATAATGAGATATGCAAAGCCCTGGAGTTAGAAAACCAAAAGGGAAGAAGACGCTCGGCATTCCTCAAGTTGAAAGAACTGAAGAGAAAATTCAAGCCTCAAGTTGCAATAGTGAAGGACTCCATGGGCAAAATATTGAACGACGCAGGAAGCATCAAAAGATAGAAGAAATACAGAGTCACAGTACCAAAAATAATTGGTCGACGGTCAGCCATTTCAGGAGGTAGCATATAATCAAGAACCGATGGTATTGAAGGAAGAAATCCAAGCTGTACTGAAGGCACTGGCAAAAAACAAGCCTCCAGGAATTGACAAAATACCAATTGAAATGTTTCAACAATGGATGTAGCGTTGGAGGGCTCACTCGTCTATGCTAAGAAATTTGGAAGACAGCTACTAGGCCAACTTACTGGAAGAGATCTGTATTTGTGCCCCTTCCAAAGAAAGGTGATCCAACAGAATGTGGAAATTATTTAACAACATCAGTTATCACACACAAGTAAAATTTTGCTGAAGATAATTAAAAAATGGTTGCCGCAATGCATCGACAGGGAACCGCCAGAAGAGAGCGTGGAACGGGATATCACTGCTGATGTCAGATAGATCTTAACTAAAAGCAGAGAATGCCAGAAAGATGTTTACCTGTGTTTTATTGGCTGTGCAAATGCCTTCCACTGTGTGGATCATAACAAGTTATGGATACAATTGTGAAGAATGGGGGAGCCCTGGTAGCTTAGAGGTTGAGAGCGATGGTGCTAACCAAAAGTTTGAATCCACCAGCTGCTCCTTGGAAACCCTATGTGGCATTTCTACTTTGTCCTGTAGTGTTGCTATCAGTCAGAAGCAACTCAACAGCAACGGGTTTTTTGGTGCTCATGCAGAACCTGTACATAGACTAAGAGGCAGTTGTTCCAACAGAACAAGGGGATACTACGTGGTTTAAAATCAGCAAAGGTATGCATCAGGGTTGTATCCTTTTACTATAGTTATTCAATCTGCATTCTGAGCAAATAATACGAGAAGCTGGACTACATGAAGAATTCAGCATCAGGACTGGAGGAAGACTCATTAACAACCTGCAGTATGCAGATCATACAACCCTTGCTTGTTAAAAGTGAAGAGGACCTCAAGCACTTACTGATGAAGATCGAAGACCACAGCCTTCAGTATGGATTACACCTCAACATAAAGAAAACAAAAATCCTCACAACTGGACCAATAACCAACATCATGATAAACCGAGAAAAGATTGAGGCTATCAAGGATTTCACTTTACTTGGATCCACAATCAACACCCATGAAAGCAGCAGTCAAGAAATCAAATGATGCATTGCATTGGGCAAATCTGCTGCAAAAAACCTCTTTCAAGTATTCAAAGATGTCACTTAGAGTACTAAGGTGTGCCTCACCCAAGCCATGATATTTTCAATTGCCTCATATGCATGTGAAAGCTGGACAATGAATAAGGAAGACCGAAGAATTGATGCCTTTGAATTACGGTGTTGGCGAAGAACACTGAATATACCATGGACTGCCAGAGAAACCCTGGTGGTACAGTGGTTAAGAGCTCAGCTGCTAACCAAAAGGTGGGCAGTTCGAATCCACTCTCCACTCCTTGGAAACCCTATGGGGCTCTTCTACTTGGAAACTACTATGGGGCAATGGGTTTTGGGACTGCCAGAAGAATGAACAGGTCTGTCGGGGGAGAAGTGCAGCCAGAATGCTCCTTAGAAGCGAGGATGGTGAGACTTCATCTCACGTAATTTGGACATGTTATCAGGAGGAACCAGTCCCTGGAGGATATCATGCTAGGTAAGGTATGTGTCAGCGAACAAGAGGAAGACCCTCGATAAGATGGATTGACACAGTGGCTGCAACAATGGGCTCAAACATAGCAACGATTTTGAGGATGGAGCAAGAGCAGGCAGTGTTTCGTTCTGTTGTACATAAGGTCGCTATGAGTCAGAATTGACTTGATGACTCCTAACAACAGCAACAACTTCATCACATCTATTTGCAGAACTTGGCACTAAGGCATTCTCTGGCTTTGGCTGTGACTCCTCTGCTTCCTCCCTCTCTAACTTCCTCTTCAGCCAGCCTCCTCAGGCCACACCTAAGCAGTGCTCACACTGCACTCCCACCCCAGCTGCTCTGCCATCCAGGCATTGACCACTGCCTCCGGGCACAGCCAGCCCAGGCCTCTCCTGAGCTCCAGATGGGAATTTATCTGCTCTAAAGGGCAGCTCCATGTGGAGGTGGGCTGGTACCTGCTTCCTCTCTCCTGATGCCTAGCTCCATCTCCCCCGCCCCAAGATCTGCTCTTCTTTCTTTAGTCTGTCAAGGAATAGCATCACTATCCCACTTTCCACATCTGAAATGTGGGACTCACTGGTGATGCCTCTCACTCTTACAGCCCACATCTAGTCAGTCACCCAGGCCTGTGATTTGACTTCCGGCTGGGCCTCCATCCCCACAGCTATCCTGTCCCCTGCCACCTTATGCCTCTGGTCAGGCATATCTGTGATAGAAAATCAGAATATTCAAAACTGACAGTGTATCTCCCATGCTTCAAACTCTTCACTGCCTTTCTATTTCCTACAGATAAAAGCCCAAGTTTCTTAGGCTTTGAGTCCTATTGACCCCTCAGCCTCATCTCCCAGGATTTGATGTCGAATGCTGTTTACTCCCTTTGAATATTTGCATGACGTTTTCAGCTTGGAATTCCTTTTCTCCCTTGTCCGTCTGGCATATTTCTCTTCATCCTTCAACACCCAGCTCCAGCATCTCCTCAGGGAAACCATTCCTCACCCAGAGGTGGTCACCGGCTTCCTTATCTGCTCCACCCCTGGGCTTTGCACACCGTCTGCATCGCTGCCAGCATCCCAGGACCTGCTCAGGAAGCATTGATCGATGCGAACTGGGCTTAAATTTGCACAGCTGAGCAAGTTAACAGGAGGAAGGCCGCCTGTGGGCACTGCCCAGTGCAGCATGAGCAACACGGGGGGAGAGGGAGACCAGCTTTCTGGTCCGGCGTCAGGCTGGCAGGGAGGGCGGAGCTTGGCAGTTCAGACTCCAGGAAGAATCTGCTGGGAGTGAGGGAGTGGGCCTGAGCACCAGGTGCGGGCCTGGCACATATCCCCGAAGCCCCTTTCCAGGCCCGGCTGAGAGGTGCGGGGGGTGGGGTGGGGTGCGGGGACCGGGGGCCTGAAATTGGTCTGCAGTCTCAGCCTGGTCCTGAGGGTCCCGGAGCAGCCGGGTTTGATTCGGACAAGCCCTGATGAAAGTTTCGGAGGAGGGAGGTTTGACAGCCAAGCCCAGCTCCTCCGCGCCCTTTCTCCCGGGCTTCCGCTGCCCCGAGTGTCTTCCCAGCACGGCCGTGGGAATAAGACGAAGCGGGCTTGTTTTCTCCTAGAGACCAGCGCGCAAGCCGAGAGCAAGAGATGCAAGAAGAGCGCCGACGAGACGCGGGCCTTCCGCTCCACCCGGGCCGCGAGCCCGCCA